GTTTCAGGTCTTACACTTAAGTCTTTAATCCATTTTGAGTTGATTTTGGTATATGGCAAGAGGTATGGATCCAGTTTCATTCTTCTAGATATGTATGTCTAGTTTTCCCGGCACCATTTATTGAGGAGGCCGTCCTCTTCCCAATGTGTGTTCTTGGTGCCTTTGTTGAAGATGGACAATGACTAAGGTGGTGATTTTAATTAATAAATGTTGTGTGTGTCCTGACTGCTCCACGAACTGGACATTCCCCTGTCTACCTCCCTCTCCTCAGGCCTCCATATTCCCTAAGACTCAACAGTGTTGGAATTAGAGCAATGAATGATCCTCCAGAGGCCTCTGAATGTTCAAGTAGAAGGAAGAGTCATACTTCTCTCCAAATCAAAAGCTAGAAATAATTACGCTTAGGGAGGAAGGCATGTCAAAAGCTGAAACAGGCCAAAGGCTAGGCATCTTATGACAAACATTTAGCCAAAGTGTGAATACAAAGAAAAAGTTCTTGAAGGAACTTAAAAGTACTAATCCAGTGAACACATGAATGATAAGAAAGCAAAACAAAATGTCCATTAATGGATGAATGTATAAATAAAAACTGAGATACATATACACAATGAAATACTATTCAGCTATAAAAGTGATGTCCTATCATTTGCAGCAACATGGATGGAACTGGAAAGCACCATGTTAAGTGAAGTAAGTCAAGCACAGAAAGACAAATACCGCATATCACTCATATGTGGGATCTGAAAAAAAAAGTGGTTTTTGTAGGAGTAGAGAGTAGAATAATAATGGTTACCAGAAGCTGGGAGGGGAGGATGGGGAGGGGGCAGGAGAATGGGTGAACGAATGGATACAAAACTATGCTATTTACACTAAACGAATCGTTGTGCAGTATATGCATGTATTGAAACAAAACACTGTACCCCACAGATATGTACAACTAATGTTAAAACAAAAAAAGGAAGAAAGAAAGTGAAATAGCATTATTGTTGATGTGGAGAAAGTGTTAGTGATCTGGATAGATCAAAATAGTCATAATATTTCCTTAAGCCAAAGCCTAATCCAGAGCAAGGCCCTAACTCTCTTCAATTCTATGAAGGTCAAGAGAGGTGAGGAAGCTGCAGAAGTAAAGTTTGAAACTAGCAGGTATTGGCTCACGAGGCTTAAGGAAAGAAGCCACCTGTATAATGTAAAAGTGCAGGTGAAGCAGCAAATGCTGATACAGAAGCTGCAGCAAGTCATCTAGAAGATCTAGCTACGATCATTGATGAAGGTGGCTATGTCAAACAACAGATTTTCAATGTAGATTAAACAGCTTTATATTGGAAGAAGATGTCATCTAGGACTTTCATAGCCAGAGAGAAGAAGTCAATGCCTGGCTTCAAAGCTTCAGAGGACAGGCTGTCTCTCTTGTTAGGGGCAAATGCAGCTGGTGACTTTAAGTTGAAGACAATGCTCATTTACCAGTCCAAAAATCCTAGGGCCCTTAAGAAGTATGATAAATGTACATTGCCTGTGCTCTATAAATACAACAATAAAGCCAGGATGGCAGCACATCTGTTTACAGCATGGTTTACTGAAAATTTTAAGCTCACTGTTGATAACCACTGCTCAGAAGAAAGATTCCTTTCAAAATATTTGATCATGACTCATTGAAGGCTCAGATGCTCATTAGCATTTTTTAGCAATAGAATGTTTTTATTTATTTATTTTATTTTTTATTTATTTTTTTTTTCCTTTTTGTCTTTTTTTCGTGCCCGGCAACGGATCGCAACCCTCAGTGTCGCCGATCATGACTCATTGAAGGCTCAGATGCTCATTAGCATTTTTTAGCAATAGAATGTTTTTATTTATTTATTTTATTTTTTATTTATTTTTTTTTCCTTTTTGTCTTTTTTTCGTGCCCGGCAACGGATCGCAACCCTCAGTGTCGCGCCCGTACCGGACCGGGACAGGCCATGGGATCGCAACCCTCGGTGTTGCTCCCGCACCTCGCTCAGCCAGTGAGTGGCCGGTCTGCATGTGGGATCCGAACCCTCGGCGGGAGCGCCGCCGCGCTTCCCAAGCGGCGCACTGTAGCAGTGCGCCACCGGGCCGCCCGTAGAATGTTTTTAAATTAAGGTATGTACATTGTTTTTCTACACATAATGCTATTACACACTTGATAGACACACTATTGTCTACACATAATGCTATTACACACTATTACACTTATGTATAATGTAAACATAACTTTTATGTGCACTGGGAAACCAAAAATTTGTATTACTTATTTTATTGTAGCATTAGCTTTATTGCCGTGGTCTGGAGCTAAACCTGCCATATCTCTGAGGTATGCCTGTGTTTAAAGGCACATCATCAGATTGTATGCCAAATGCTTCTTTTATGATTCTGGGGTTTTTTTGGTTATTTATTTATTTTTTTTGGTGTGTGTGCTCATTCTCTAGCTGATTTCTCAGGAAGGGCTAATGCGAACAGGATTCCCTGAGTCCTTGCTGTTTTTCTTTGGCCTTTATACTGAAAGGCCAGTTTGGATGGATATAAAATCAATTTGTCCTCAGAAGGACAACTGTACCTTTCACACATGCTTACCCCTTACTACACTGGCTCCAGATCTGGGTTTTTGTTTTGTGTATTAGTTTTTTATTTCTGCGGTAACAAATTACTATAAACTCAGTGGCTTAAAACTACAAAAATTCAACTCTCTTTTCAGACAACAAAATTATAAAGAATTTAGCTATAAATCTGTTTTTTATTTGCAGTTTATGAATGGGGGCGGTCTCCATTTTACAAAATAGAACAAGAGCTCCCACAGGACAACAGCAGAATGGTGAGTTTTGTAAGGTGGGAACAAGGAAACAGGAGATAGAAATAAAAAACTGACCGGTTAACATCAGATTAGTTCAGGTTGATTTTATGTAAGGGTTAAAGCAATGGGGCCTTCCTTATGCTGACTGAGGTACACTGGGAATCTCCTTCTTTCAGGAAAAACTGCTCTGCCTCAAAGTTTTAGTTTGATTATGTAGCACTTAGTATGAATGACTCCATTTTGGTTTGGTCCGGTCTTTGAGGGCCTGGTGCAGGAGCTTAGTCCAAAACAATGACCTTTCAAAAGTTTGTTTAATATCTTACAGATCTGGTGATCAGAAGTCTAAAATGAAGGTGGTGGAAGGGCCATGTTCCTTCTGGAGGCTCTGGGGGACAATCTCTCATCGTTTCCAGCTTTTAGAGCCTGCCCACATTCCTTGGCTTGTAGCACATGGCTCCAACCACAAGTTCCATCATCATATCTCCTTTTACTGACTTTGACCTCACTCTTGTAAGAACCCTTGTGATTACATTGGGCTTACCCAGATAATCCAGAATAATTTCTTCATCTCAAAATCCTAAACTTAATCACATCTGCAAAGTTTCTTTTGCCATGTGTATTTGTCCCTTTCTGTTGCTTACAACAGAATACCTGAAACTGGGTAATTCATAAAGACATGAAATTTATTTCTTACGGTTTCAAAGGCTGAGAAGTCCAAAGTCTACGGGACACATCTGGTAAGGGCCTTGTTCTTGGTGGTGACTCTCTACAGCAACACTGGGTGTCACATGGCAAGAATAGGCTGAGTAAGAGCTAACCTGCTCACTCACTCTCTTTATAAAGTCATCAGAACCACATTGATGACCACCCATTAAACCATCAATTTATTACTTCATGAATGGATCAATCCATTCACTAGGACATGGTCATCAGATCCAATCACTTTTTAAAGGCCCTGCCTTTCAATTACCATAATTAGATTTCCTACCCTCTTAACACTGTTACAATGGGGATTAAGTTTCCAATACGTGAACTTTTGGGGGACACGTTTGACCCATAGCACCATATAAGGTAACATATTCACAGGTTCCTGGGATTAGGACATGATCATCTTTGGAGGTTGTTATTCAGCCTACCACATTTTGTTTTCTCCTTGGAGATTTCCCTTACTTCCTGTAAATCGACAATGCAGTGTAAAATGTGCTTTATGTAGGATCTAGTTATTTCATTGTGGGAGGCCTTTCAGGGTATCTAGTCTTCTGTACTGCCAGAAGCACAAGTCCCCCTAAGAAGTTTCTAAACAATATTAATAGGCTTCACTCCAAACCCTTGGAATCAGCATCTCTAGGGTTAGGTTTATAAATCTTCCAATAAACCAGAGTTGAAAGTTCCTACCCCATAACTTGTTCATATCCAGGGGGTGGGACATCATGGGAGTCAGAGCTGACACCAATGGGGAGGTGAGGAAGGGACACTCGGGGGCTCTGTGTCCTGGCTCAGAACCTGCTAACACTTGCCTTCTCCCCTTCCCCTGCACAGACCATGGGTGATTTCTTCCATTTATTCACAACCTTAAGTCAGCTTTCCTGGTGAATAGAAGTTTAACACTCTAGAGTTAGAGGTGGTGAAAGACTGAGAGTAATTTTACTTATCTAAATCCTAGCTATTTTTTAAGGACTATCGCAAAAAAGCATCTTTTTGATGAAACCTTACCTGATCTATCTCTGCCAAGTATCTCCGAGGTATGCCTGTATTTAAATACATATCATCAGATTGTAAGCCAAAGCTTTTTTTTAGCCCATCGTGTCAATAGGAGGTGATTGAATGGGACTGAGAGGTCAGTCGCTTAAGAAGGTTTTATTGATGCATTAGGATAGATGGGGAAGTAGACAGTTGACAGAGATAAAAGTGGCTCTGAAAACTTCCACAAGCTGAGGAGAATTCAGCACAAAGGGGTGACTATCTCCATATCTTCCCGCTCCTAAGAGGGTCTGTACAGTAAAGCAGGTGAAAGAGAGGAATTTAAGATAGAAAACACCTTGCAGAAATGATGTCATTAACAAAAACCTAAGTGGGAAGCACCATGATTAAGAGCTGGTGTCCAGAGACATGCCAGCTGGACTGGCCAGGGTGGGACAAGCCAACCCCTCTCCAGGCGTCTTCTTCTGGTACTGTGCATTGGAGTCAGGAGGAGTTATGGCTTGTTACTTTTGAAGTAGGAGTACAGCCCCCTAGCTGTGATGGCTCGCTTGCCCTCCGGCTGGGCTGTGGCCTGGCCCTGTGCGGAAGGAACTCTGGTGTGCAGGCTGCCCTGGCCCTGCCTTTGGATCACTGTCTCCCTTGTGTGGTCATCAACCCACTCCTGGCCAACCACCCTGGGCTCCCTCTCTCCCTGTCCTCCTGCCACACTGCTGCTTGGATGAGTGCTGCTCCAGTTCTGTCTTCCTGTCTCAGTGCATGCCCCAGTCTGGGCCTGTCCTCCCAGCACTGTCTCTCCTGCCTCGTAGTTTCTCACTTGTGTCCATCTTTCACCACTGCATGACTGTGTCTGTGTCTGCCCCTGTTCTCTAATCCCTACATGGCTTGTAGTCTGGCTTCTGTCCTGCTCCACGGTCTGGGAGTGAGACCCTGCCTGTGTCTGAATGTGTCCACCTGTTACAACCTGGCTGGTCTGGCTCCTGTCTTGACTGTGGGTCTCAGGCCCTCTGGTCTGGCCACAGGTGGACTCCCATGTCTGGGAGCTGGTGTTTCCTGTCTGATGGCTTCTGTCCTGCTCCACGGTCTGGGAGTGAGACCCTGCCTGTGTCTGAATGTGTCCACCTGTTACAACCTGGCTGGTCTGGCTCCTGTCTTGACTGTGGGTCTCAGGCCCTCTGGTCTGGCCACAGGTGGACTCCCATGTCTGGGAGCTGGTGTTTCCTGTCTGATGGCTCCTGTCCTGCTCCATGGTCTGGGAGTGAGACCCTGCCTGTTTGTGAATGTGTCCTCCTGTCACAACCTGGCTGGTTTGGCTCCTGTCTTGACTGTGGGTCTCAGGCCCTCTGGTCTGGCCAACGGTGGATTCCCTTGTCTGGGTGCTGGTGTTTCCTGTCTGATGGCTCCTGTCCTGCTCCGTGGTCTGGAAGTGTGACCCTGCCTGTTTGTGAATGTGTCCTCCTGTCACAACCTGGCTGGTTTGGCTCCTGTCTTGACTGTGAGTCTCAGGCCCTCTGGTCTGGCCAATGGTGGATTCCCTTGTCTGGGTGCTGGTGTTTCCTATCTGATGGCTCCTGTCCTGCTCTGCAGTCTGGTAGTGAGACCCTGCCTGTGTCTGAATGTGTCCACCTGTTATGACCTGGCTGGTCTGGCTTCTGTCTTGACTGTGGGTCTCAGGCCCTCTGGTCTGGCCAATGGTGGACTCCCGTGTCTGGGTGCTGGTGTTTCCTGTCTGATGGCTCTTGTCCTGTGATTGAGTTCCAGTTGCAGTCATGGTCTCACCTGTCTGGTGGGCTCTGTCCTGTTCCCTGGCCTGTGACTGTCTCTCTGACCTCCTCTCTCTGGTCTGATAACTCCTTTCTTCTCTTACCCTCTGGGTCTGCTCCATATGCCCCCTGGTTTGTGTCTGCTGGCTTGCATTCTCCTGTCTCTGGGACTCAGCCTGCCTGCCATGGCTACTGACCTGAGTGGAGCTGATGTCCTGACCCTGGGTCTGAGCCCCAGCCCTGCCCTGCCCTCTGGAAGCCTGCTCACTCTGTCCACAGCTGCTCCCCTCCTGATGCTGCCTTTTCCCAACCCTTCCCACTTCAGTGCCACTTCTCTGCCCCTCCCCCAGCTCTTGCAAGGTCCCAGGGTGGCAAATTCCAGCCTCTTGAGATCCACAAGCTCCCTCAGAACTCTCATTGAGTGTCTTGAAACAGGCCTGGGCAACTTTAAACACCAAGACCAAGAATTCCTTGAATTCCACAGTCCCTGTGTCATCTTCATCCAGCAGGTGCAGGACTTCATCTACAGTGGCTGGATCGTGGGGTTTCTGGGGAGAAGATGAGGCTAAGTCAGCATCCCTCCCTGGAGGAGGACGTGTTAGGTCAGTTCCACTCAGCTTCCAGGCTTCCTACCTGTTGGAGCCTGGGATCCAACCCCCTCAGATCCTACCACACTCCACATACATACTGCTATAGCAGCATTAACACTTAATTGCCTTTATACACATTTTTCAATCCTGTCTCTCTTGCTCCAGGGTAGGAAGCACCTTGTTTGTGTCCTCTATGTCTGGCATAGTTTCTGGCCTACAGGAGAATTGGATTTTGATTTATTGAAGAATGAATAAATGATTGAGGCCATAATGCAGCTATCTGGACTCTAGGGTTGATTCTTTGGGCTGTCCTTGGCACCTTGCCCTGGCCCTGAGGCTGAAATTTCTTCAGCAAGCCCAATACAAAGAGGCACCCCATGAGGATTCTATGAGATCCTCACCAGAGGCTTAGATGTTTGCCCAAGATAGGGTCAGGAGGTGGGGGTCCAGTGGGACTATAGGGCTGCCCTGAGCAGGTAGAGGCAGCATCCTGCTGTGCCCACACATGTTTGTCCCCAAGACCTTCATCCTCATGGTTGCTTTAGATTCAAACCAAAGGCAGGAGAGAGCATCAAGGCCCTGGTTCTGGGTTGCTGGGTAGATGGTGCAGTGGGGTGGGGGGTCCCAGAATCTCCCACAGCTGTTAACAACATATTCTCCAAGGCATCATTTCTGATGTGATCAGTCAGCTAATATTTTTGAGTACTTGCTTTGTGCAAGGCACAGAGCTATGCTTTTTTTTTTTTTTTTTCCTTTTTGTCTTTTTTCGTGTCCGGCAACGGATTGCAACCCTCAGTGTCGCCCCCGTACCGGACCGGGACCGGCAACGGGATTGCAACCCTCAGCGCTGCGCCCGCACCTCGCTCAGCCAGTGAGCGGCCGGTCTGTATGTGGGATCCGAACCCTCGGCGGGATGCACTGTAGCAGTACGCCACCGGGCCGGCCCCAGAGCTATGCTTTTAATGAATAGTTATTAATGGATGATCAAATTTTAGATAGACATGGGAAATGTTTACTGTATCAAATTTAAGAAGCATCAGAAAGCAGCAATTATTTTCATTTATAGAGCATTCCAAGGCTCTGCTCCTCCCTGAGCTGTTCCTTTAGCTTTTTCTTTTCTTTTTTTTTTTTCCTTTGTCTTCAAGTTAAAATTAATTAAAACCAAAGTATTTTCTCCAAGGACCGGGGCCTGTCAACTCCCATGACCATCTCTTGTTCCTTCATCTTCTGTCTTCACAACTGCCATCAATACCCACAGGCCTGGACCTAGCTGCTGCCTCCTCAGATTCCCCAGGCAGAGCCTCTGCAGGCAAATAGGTTTTTACTTTCCCATTATGCCCCCTCCCCACCTGGGTCAGTACATCATACCACAATGACATCGGCAAACTCATGCTCCAACAGTCTTTTCAGCTCCCCGCGAGTGAGCACTGAGCAGCTGCCCTCCGTCCTGGCGTAGCGCCCAAAGGCCTCGATGATCACATCATACCACAATGACATCGGCAAACTCATGCTCCAACAGTCTTTTCAGCTCTCCGCGAGTGAGCACTGAGCAGCTGCCCTCCGTCCTGGCGTAGCGCCCAAAGGCCTCGATGATCCCGTTAATGTTTCGCAGTAACTGAGGCATCTTTGAAGTCAAGCTGGAAAAAGATGAAAAGTCCCCTTGGGGGCTCCATAATCGACCTCACCTGTTTCTTCGGGAGCACCTCTGCTTCTCAATCCTTTTCTTGCATGTTCAGCTCTGCTTTTGTTCTCTATCTTCCTTCGTCCTTTCCTACATGATGTATTTTATGTATGGAGAGGAGGAACACCCAGTGATTGGAGGCAGGCTCCTGAATCAGGATTTAAATGCCAGCCCTACCGCTGACCTGTCATGTGAGCTGGGCCAAGTTGCTTTCCCTCTCCATGACTCAATTTGCTTACTGTGAATGAGGGAAATAGGAGTATTTAGTTTATAGGATTATCGTGAAGATTTAAAGAGATAATTTACAAAAAGCACTTGGCAGATGCCTGGCTTATACTAAGTGCTAGCTATTAAATACCATTATGATGTTGTTATGCACATATACATGTATATAATTTGTGTACATCTATATGCACTCTATTGCTCACAAAGCACTTTCCTGTGCATCATCTCATAATCCTCATTATCTCCACTTTTTTATAGGTGAGGAAACAAGGAAGTTAGGTGATTTGGGCAAAGCCACATGGCTTTTAAGTGACCAAGAAATCCTAGAACCCATCTCTCTGTAACCCAAATGCAATGGGCTTTCTAGAATGTACCTTTTGGACAGGGTTCATTTGCCTATCACAAGGGCATTAGGACCCCACTGGGAACACCAGGCAGTAAGTACACATGTAAGTCAACCCCTGTCTTGGGTGGGAGCCAAGCAGGAACTGCAGGGGCATAACTCTGTCCTTTCTTGCTTCCTTTTGGGAAGGCGTTCAGGACGAGCCTGGGCTACCATCTATCGGGAGTGCTGAGGAGGAGGGTGCCTTCTCTGGGTGAGAGGCCTTCCAATTCTGAGAGTCCAAGTTTCACTGCATGTGACCTCTGTCTTCAGCCCTGGGACCTGTCAGGAAGGTCAGCTTGCCCAATAGGCATTTGGCTCTGTCAAGCCCAAGGGCTGGTGACCTAGGAGGGATGGTTCCCAATCGAAGGGAGAGATTTTCTTTTTCATTAGCTAGGAATCTGGAGGTAGGTTGAGGTGAGGCCTGGGTGTGGTTGGATGGGCAAGAAGCATAGAGACTTGGAGATGCATTAGGCAGAAGCCTTGGAGAGACCAGAAGGAGGAAATGGTATCAATGATGACAAAGTTCAAATGCAAGGGTGGGGGGTGGAGGGGTGGCTGGCCAGTTAGTTCAGATGGTTAGAGTGTGGTGTTGATAATACCAAGGGCAAGGGTTTGGATGCCTGCACTGGCCAGCTGCCAACAAGAACAAGAACAAAATGCAAGGGGAGATAGAAGCCTGCAGCAGCTGGGAAACCAGGGCCGGGACCTCAGAGATGGAAAGGAGAAGAGCAGGGGAAGAGGAAAACATGGTTACAGAAATGAGAGAGCAAAGGAAGGAGGGAAACTTGGGTACTAGAAAAAGCAGGTCAGTGTAGCCAGAAGGATTCAAAAGGTTACACCCCCAAGGTGGGTTGCTCAGGGGGTACCCTTTCACTGACTGGTAGCCAATAATTTCAGGCAGACTTTTCTCTCCTGTGTACATTGATACAAAACTCAGAATATTGTTCTTCAGCATAGATGAAAGTAGTATTATTTTTAACCATGTGGCAGACTTTAACCACTGACCTATAAATAGTAAAAATGATAAGATGACCTTTCAATTACACTTCAGATTCCTTAGAAGAAATCTGCAAGTTCGTATTGCCTAAATATCACCCTGGGTCAGGGAGGGGAGTCATGTAAGCCCCTTCCTCCATGAAATGGTTTGACCTCATTGTCTGGGTTGGCAGAAGTAAACTGATTCTGACCCCACAGATTCTGAGCACTGCAAAGAAGCTTCCAGAGGCTTAAGGACGATATCTTTGCTGATCCAGGAAGACACATGGGTGGCTGTTTCTGCTGCCCAGACAGTCTCCCAGTGGGAGGAGCTGCTGCCAGGCTAGCCTCAGAGTAGGAGAGGGAAGCCTGATTGCTTCAGGAGAGCATCACTTCCCAATGTGGTCTCACTCCTGGTTTGCCTGAGGCCCAATCAGAGAGGACACTTTCTACCCACAGCCAGCACTGGTGGATGTGCAGCCCATATCTAACTGCCCTGGTTTTATGAGCACAGATCACCAAGTCACTGAGGATGAGAAATAGGTTCCTCAAGAGGGGACTTACCTAATGCCCGGATGGGATGAGACAAGTGGCTGTTAGCTGCTGTGGAGAGTGAAGTACCAGGTCAGCAAGACGAGAACCTTTTATAGGGGATCTAATCGAGGCTCATGTCTCAGACAAGACGTCCCCGCCCTACAGGAAGGCTTGATTCATACAAGGTTCAGCACAGCCCAGCCCCACCTCCTCTCTTCTCTGTTTTACCTGCAGACATGTGGCTGTGTTGGGTTAATTAGCAGGCCCCTCCTGCCACATTTGGTGCCATCTTCAGTTGGGTCTGTCCACTCATGATAGGGAAGTTCCTTTCCAGTGTAATGGGTTCAGCAGTGCTCTGCACAGGCCGAAGTTCCTGGTGAATGTTCTTTGTCTCCATGAGCCTGCAAAGTCATGGGACTCTTCTTCCTTTTCTGTACAAACATTCAAGAACATCTCCGTCTAATGAGTTATCCTTCTCAAAGTGTCTACTTTGGGAGGCTCCCATGTTTTTCTGGTGATGTTGCTATTACTTAGAACATTTTTTGAATTCTTGTTTTAGAGTTGCCTTTCATACCTAGTTTATGAGACACAAGAAAGCCAGTCTCATTTCTTTATACTTGGGTGTCATTTTTTATTAAAGCAAAAAGGTTAATACCTCTCCAGCCCCATGCTTTAGGTAGGTAGCGTTTTACAGCTGGTGAGAGAAGAGGCTTAACATGATCATGTGCAACCTCCTCTTTGCAAAGGCAGGAACTCAACTGGTCGACTAGTCAGCAAATATTTATGGAAAACTCGCTCCATTTCAGACATAGTCTGAGGCCCTAAAGATACACTGTTGAATAAGACAACAGTAGTTTCAACTCTCCCGGAGTTTAAAGCCTGTCTGTCCTAGGGGAAAGGCCCCGAGAGGTTAATGATAATGGTATTCACCATTTCATTTCATTTTCATTACCATCTCATTTTGTGTGATCCCTATGGTAATCCTCTGAGATGGTGTGGCTAAGCCTCTTTTGTAAATGAGGATCCTGAGAAATCCTTGGAGACGTGGCCACTCAGTGAGAAGGAATGGGGCTGGACTCGAGCCCCTTAGGCTCTAGGCCCGGGTTCTCTCTATCACGACACGCTGTTGCCCATGCTTCTCTCAATGACGTTCAGCACTTTACAAACATCAAATTTACCCTCAATGCATGAAGAGCCACCATCATGGAGGATGCTGAGAAGGAAGTATTATGACCTCGGAAGCATTATGAGCTCTGAAGCCAAGCCCCAAAGGGGGCTCCTAAGTGACACTTTTGCAGGAAGTCTATGTAGCTTCTCGAGTGACTCTGGATGGGGAAAGCCATATTTGCCATTCTCATCCTGCATACTCACATCTGCATGAAGCAGACAGGAAAGGAAATGACAGTCAGGATGAGAAGTCACAGTAAGGGCCTTGGTTGCAGCAACTGGCATTTGAGGGCAGCCCTGCAGTGACAGAACAAGCTTCTGCATATCAGGATCGCAGAGCACTGGGTGAGCTGCAGACTGCAGGAGGACAGGAGGTGGGCTTTGTGGTTGGAGAGTGGGGAGTAGCTGGCTCCAGTCCTGGGGTGGGGAGCTGGCCAGAGCAGAGCAGAATAGGGGTCCAAACTTTGGGATCAAGAGAGGGCTGAGGTTGCTATAGCAACTGATCAGACTTAAGAGAAGGTCATATGAGAGGGGAAGTTGGGGAATGAATGAGAGTCCAGTGGATTAGACATTCCTTCTGTGGGCGGTGTTCTAAGTTTTTATCTGAAGGGGATTAAAACTTCCAGAGAGACTTGAGAACTAAGGGAAAGTAAGTTGGGGAGGTAACAAACCAGGGGCTTTATCTATGAGGAAGCTATGAGGGTGGGTATTATTATACCCAATTTACAGATGAAGAAACTGAGGCACAGGGAGGTTAAGTAAACTACCCAAAGTCACGTACCTAGAAAGTGCTGGACCTGAATTTGAACTTATGTCTGCCTGCTTCCAAAGCCTATGTACTTACATGTGCCTGGGGCAGGACTGAGCCTGTGGGTGGGGCTAGCCGCGAGGTGCTGAGGCACCTGTAGAAGTAGAGGTAAAAGAAGTGTGTGTGCTGGGTGAGGGGAGGTTGGCTGAAGCCTGTGGGTGAGACTGGGGTAGATGAGGAGGTGGGAGAGATTAGGACTGACAGGCTCTAATTGAGTGTGTAAATTTGTTAGTTCATAAAGTTTGTGAAGAGTTCTTATAAATTAGTGACTTTCTTAGTAGTTAAATTTTATGAGTATGCCAGAGGCCAGAGAGGCCACGTGCCTGGTCAGAAGTTGTCAAACTCGTCCTCTGCTCACTCTGCCCTGGAGTAAACAGAAATATCTAGAAGCAACAGAAACTCATTTTTGCACTTTGATTTTATTTTCTTACACACTTACTCAAAAATTCTTTCCTGACCACTACTCTATTTCTGTTTGCTACACTTAATGGGCTACAAATGAAGAATGAGATCTGCTTTTCAGGAAACCAGTCTAATTTGGCAAACAGCCCATATGCACCAAAAGTAACCATTTAAAAATGGAAGACAGAATTTCATAAAATACTAGATAGAAAATATAGTCAAATACCACAAGGTCTGGGGTAAAGAGTCAGTGCTCATGAACATGAGAGATCAGGGTCTATGTTAGCAACACCTCTCTGCCTGCGCTGGTGTTGGTTTGCTGGTTTTATTTTACTTTATTTTATTTGCTAGTACTGAGTGTTTACTATGTCCAGACACTGGGCTAAGAGCTTGCACACATCATTCCGTTTAACTTTCTCAACAACCCCATGGTAGCAAAGGTATTAT